CGATCCCCGAGACGTGATCTGTAACATTTCTAGGTGGAATACTCTCTGGGCACCTATATCGTTGTTTGACGTTATTAATGTTGATAGCAATTCTGTGACAAAATGATGGCTATTAGGCCTGAGCTGCGACCACTACCCCATTATCATTAATTATAATAATTTGAGAAATTGAGGAATTACACAATATTGGTGAATGGTGTGACCAGATATTTGTTATTTTAAGTATTTGGAAGTTTTATTGTCATATTCGTTAGTATGTCTGGGACAAACTGGCCTCCCACCTCACGGCCCCCCGACCCAGGACGTTTGGCAATGACTAGAGACGTTTTTGATTGTCACAGCTGGTGGGGAAGTGCTCCTAGCATCCAGCGGGTGGAGGCCAGAGATCTGCTAAACGTCTTACAGAGCACAGGACAGCCCCCACAACAGAGGATCATCCGGCAAAAATGTCAATAGTGCCAGGGTTGAAAACTGTGCAGTATGTAATATTACCTAATTTAATATTGATCAATCACCTAGTAATGAACATAAAAGACAAATAATTTCCTCAAGGAGAACTTCCTTATAATGATGCAAGTAACTTGAAATCAAGCTAGAATTTTCCCTCCTATAATTTTAATTATTTGCTAATCCAGGATATAAATTTTGAAATGCTTGAGAGGAATTTTAATATCTAGAGAAAATTTCCTAGTAAAAATTTCATTTTAAAAGCATAGCTTAGCATTTAAGGTATTAGCAATTAATACCTATTTGAAAAGGAAGAAAACGTTAGCATAGCTAATAAATTTTCTTTGGGTTTGGAAGCATCACATGATTGCCGCCTGCATAGTTCTCTCTTGACTGCTTGATTTAGACTAGCACCATATTTAGATCTTAGCTCCTACACAGATACCTTACAAAGTAGTGCTGTCAGCATTGATTTAAAATATTCCACGGATAACCCACTTGCGTAGCTGGTAACATTAGAAATATAAACAATCTGCCTTTCCCTAAAATGGAACTTTAACAAATAGAATGGGTTGAAAAGAGAATCATTTGCTGTTGCACAGACACCCCCAGGTGTCCTGCAGGGTGTGGAGATGCCTTAGAGCCAGTTGCTGTCTGTAGGTCCTCGCTCGTCCCTGAAACTCAGGGAGGATACCCAGGAGCCATTGACTGGGAGGTCGCCTTGGGAATGAGCCGCTGCCTGCCCATCTAACAAGCCTTGCCTACAGCTGTACCAAGTATAAGTTTGCCCTTCAAATCTGTGCTATTAGAAGTCAGCATACTGACTACCTTTTTGGAGGAAGTGACTGGAAGGGGTCTGAGGTGCTAGTCAGGTCCTAGTTCTTGATCTGGACGCTAGAACCCTGTGTGTTCTCAGCTTGTGAAAGTTTGTCCAGATTAGGATGTGCCGCTTTTCCGTACTTCGTATTTCTACAGAATGTTTAGAAAAAAAGAAAAAGGCAATATTGTGGATCCACTGAAGGCTTTTTCCAACCACGGAATGATATGATTAGTGCTATGGTTTGGAAAGATCCATCCACTTGGCTATTTATAAAAACATCTAGGAAAGCCTTTCTACAATTTCAAAAAAAAGGGGGGGGGTTAAATTTGCCCTTAACACCTGCCCTTTTGTACACTTCCAGTACTGAGCATTGAAAATTGATGTTCATGGTTAGAATCCTGAAATTCTTTCTTAATCACCAAAGAAAGACTAAATCCTGGCTTGGTGTCCTATTGCAAAGGTTATCATGAGAGTGCTTTCCTGAACACAGACATGGATTGACCCTCAGACATCGGATCACAGGCTGCCATCTTCTTCCATTCCAGGGCGTGGGAAGAAGGCAAGGTACTCATCTTTGACGACTCCTTTGAGCACGAGGTGTGGCAGGACGCCGCGTCTTTCCGGCTGATCTTCATCGTGGATGTGTGGCACCCAGAGCTGACAGCCCAGCAGAGACGCAGCCTTCCTGCGATTTAACACGTCATTGTGCAGGCTCAGGACATGCAGACAGGTTGCCTTTCTGGTTCCATCTCCTCGGGTGTGGGCACAGACGTTCGAACACCAAGGCCCTTAATTCCCTTGATTTGCAGCCTGAAAAGTTCTAAACCTCCTCCTAGGCTTGGAAGACACAAAAGGGAATATTTGCCTCGCTGCAATTCTCATAGAAAACACCTGCCATATTTCATCTGTGACAGCCCTGATCTGATGCCTATATTCAAGGTGAACACATGATAACGTATCTACCTTGCCAGCCAAAGATATTTTTTTCCACTTAGAATAAGTGAAATCAGTGTAAATGAGAGTATATGTAGAAACTGTGAATGGATTGCTTTAGCTTCTAATTTTTCTATGCAAGTGTATTTTTCTAGGGTAGTGAGACGATTCTAGCGTCACATACCACTACTTCCTTGTTGATTTTAACAACAAGCTGCGTAAATGCTTTACTTCTTGCTGTTTAACCGTGAACTCAGACTTCCCTCTTTTAATTATTTTTAGTAAAAGGCACTCATATGAAAAAGGCAATTCTATTTTCCGAATACAAAGGAGAAAGACATAATTATACCAGTATCTACAAACTGTTCCGCTCTCTCCCCTTTGAGTCTGTATGCTTTTTTGTCTTCATGGAGAGCTGGTGTCTTAATTTCTCTCCTTGCTCTGTGAATGGTGGAGATACTGTCAAAATGGTATTTCTTTCTAAGGAGAACTTCTTACTCTGAAAAAGGACTTGGAATCATTTTATATTGAGTTATAAAGATGACATATGTAAATATTTCAATGCCAAATATTAGGCATTGGGAGCAAAAAAAAAGTAAAAGTTCTCCAAGTGAAGACTTTCTCTTGGGATCAGGTGGCAGGGAGCTGTCTCTGAAACTGGGTTGGAATCCAGAGTGTCTTCTGTTGCGGATCTTTGTGAGTGACAAGGTCCTTCAGAGGATTTCCATCGCCATTTTGTAAAAATATGAAGGATGGTAGAGTGGAAGACCAAGATTGCCAGGACCTTTGTCCTGGGAGTAAGAGGTCAAAATTGCTTTCCTCTTTGTAATTGTTTGGAAGACTCTGACCTCTCCGTGGCTTGAGAAACTTCTGCCATTTAAACCTCACTTTGAGATGGCAATTATCATTGACAGTTTAGCTTCAATATTACCCACAGCATAGAAATAACCATTGCCTACTTGTTCCAAAGAAGATCACGTCATTAATTTAGGAGAATATTAATGCATTAAATTTTGTGTTTTTTAACTCAAAGCTAACTAGAAATGTTAGCTGTAAGAATGTAATGATATTCATGCACTGAATTTTTAGCCAATATGAACAAAATTGCTGAAGAAATGACACGCAGGTTAACCAGATTTTCTTCGCAGGTAGAAAAAGCACTTGTGTTTTCTTTCCCATTGAAGGACAAGGAGGAAACTCTATTTCATTTAAAACATAGTTTTGTGTTGTTGTTTTGTTGTTTTTTCATTGAAATGGACCCCTTTTGCTTGTCCTTCAGGACATTAGTTTTGGTCAAAGAGTTTACAGAATATTTGTCTTGTTTCCTTCTATCTTTCCAATATTGGAAAAATCTCACTAAAACAGATGAGGAAGTATATGTGGAAAAATATCAGAATTAATTACCAAAGTCCAGAAGAAAAAAGTAAATTCTTGAAAAGTAAAAAGGCATTTATGTCCTTCAGTATTTATTGAACAGAGGAAATGACTGACAAAGGACAATACAATCCAGTGTTCATGTGATAACATTCATGTGACTTACTGAATTTTGTTCTTGTATGTATGTTGCATACACATGAAGAAATTCAAAGTGTACGTTGTCATTGTTGAACCATCATCTTACATTCATTTAATGAAATCATGGGATAGAGTAAAAACTAGCTCTTAACTTTGTAATTATATTATGGTATTTAAAATCAGGTCACTACAGTAGGGTTATAAATATTGCCAATTGAAAAGCCAGAATTATTACTGTTGCAAAATGTTGGCAACAATTGACTCCAGTCGCATTTCAAATACTTGGATCCCACAACTATTTTATAAACTCAAGTAATAAAATGGGTTTTCTAATTCACTTTAATTCTTCATCTTTCTCTCCTATGTATCCTGGACTATAAGAAAAGTGTTTCAGTCACTGCATTGGTAGAATTATTTCAATGTCACTATTTTGTTATTTGAAATGTCTACACAAAATGAATTGGTTTTATTTGTACTGTGATGCAATTAATGGCGAAATATTTCAAATTCTATTTTGATTTTATTTCAAGGGTGGAAAACAAAAGTCACTTCTGTTATTGTTCTCTGTCAGTAGAAATCGTTGAGGAAGAGATGTAATAAGTGATTATGATTAGTAATCACATCTGTTGAGGGTGATCATGGTCAGTCAAATCACCTCTTTCCTTTGAATTTTTTAGCTAACAAATTAACCCTCCCAAATACTGCTCATTATCAACTAAAATACTTTTTATTTGACATTGAGTACCAACTGGTCATATTAATGAAGACCCCTGTCGTGCAGACGGCTGGGAGAGTTAAGAGGTCACTAAAAACATACAGCTGGTTTGGGGAGACATGGCACACGTAAGGATATCATGTCCGATGCTACCTGTTCATTTTTATCTAATTTCCTTTTAATTGATAGTTGGGGACTCCATTTCTAAGGATAACAAAGAAATAAAATGATCTTTGGCATTTCAGCCTGCATTCCCAGTCTTCTCTTATTTTCAGGTCTTACCTATTCAGCCATCCTTAAGGGTCTTCCTCCATGATTGATATCTGCCTTCTCAGCAACAGCCAGGCCCTTGCTCCACACCTTTAACTGGTTGCAGGAGGAGCTGGGGGCAGTGGGGGCTGTTTAATGCTTTTGTGGCACTTTTCTTTGCTGTAGTGACCCAAGTGAGGCAACTTGAATGGCTTCATTAATCACTGACATGTATTTTCAATGAGACCCCCCCATCCTGCAGACACACATTTCTTGTGGGGAGTCACATTGCTAAGATGAAATAGTCATATTTCAAAATGTATGTCTTTGTTTAAAATCAGCTCATGATAATCAGCTGGTGGCCTGACCAAAGATGTGACGTCAAAATCATGTTTTGCAGGATATCAAAATAAACTCTGCAAACAATAGACCTACAAAAATGTGCTCTGAGACTGAACAATTTGAAATTTGATGCTGGTGATGAGGTCGAAGAAAATAATTCAATATAGGAATGGAAATTACTGAAGATACTGTTGTTTGGGGGCCTTGCAGGACTTTAAACTTGACAATTGTGTCTGCACAGTTTAATTCTTATGTATCTACTTGGAAATGCGCTTAATCTCAAATCGCAGAAACTGGAGAGGGTCTCTGCAATGCCTCAGAAAAATCCTGGTCCTAATGAAATGAGTGCATCAAATTTAATTTCTTTCTCTTTTCAGTTCATTTAATGCCATGAATATGGAGTGAGGGGAACCTTGTTCACATAACTGCCTTGCTTTGTCCTCCATTTCCTTCATCGAAAAAAAAAAAAAGCATCTCTCAAGTCTTTGTTCAACTTTGGTTGCTCAGACCAATGGCTGGTGACAGTCATTTCTGGGTGGCAAGAGTGGAGGCCCTTGTGGGAGCTGAACGCATGTGTCATGGGGTCAGTTGCACACGTGCTTCCTGGTGGCTGAGTCCACTGAAGGCTGGCAATGTGCAGGAGCGTGGAGCGGCTCGGGGTTCAGTCCAGAGCCAGGAGTGGCTGCGTGTTCTCATTCTCCCCCTTCTCCTCATGTTTCAGGGTCCCAGCTTCTACCACAGACTGAGATCTAATAACAGGGGAAGGAAAAAGACACAATTACAAACAATTTATGATGGTGACCATTTTGGAACATTGGAGGGCATTCAGATTTTATGTCCCCTTATTAACCAAGACACTCAAAATAACTGCATAACTCCCCCCCCCCTTTTTGTATCCCTCTTTTCTGTGCTTTTGTGTCTTCTACACCACATTGCCATCGAGAGAGGCAACTTGGAATCTTCTTTGCGGAAATCTCTTCTGTTGGTAGGAGGAACATGTGTTCTAGCCACAACTCTGCCCCAGTGTCTAAACATTCAACTGCTCTTGAGATCTATAAAGTCAAATAAATTTTGCTGGATTTTCACTGTTTCAAAGCACTTTTTAGAGCTTTTGTTTCTCAAGGTCATAGGAAACTTATCATGTGTGATGTTAAGACCATGAGATTTGAGGTCAGATGGTAAATGTAGACCTTACCCGTTACTGACCGAAGGGTCTTGGGGGAGTTCTTACAACTTTGGGCCTTTATTCTCTCACCTGTGAAACAGAGGTATTACCTACCTTCCAGGGTTGTTGAGAAAGACTAAAACTAATACTGTACACAAAGCATTTGACAAGCAATTGTAGTCAAAATTATGGAGCACTCTTATCACCACTGTTGCAATTACAGCAGTGATTTTTACTTTCTGATGTGTTCTCTTATATTGGAGTAATAGCAATTTCCTGTTTATAACATGGATTGAAACTGAAATTATTTCCCAGCTTTATAGAGAGAAGATTATAAGAGCTATGCACACGGTAGATATTCAATCAACGTTCACATACTAAAAAAAAGTCAAAACATTAAGAAAATAGTTGAATTAGGTTGTTCAAATAAGCGAGATTTACATATATGTGCAGTAAATGGTTAACTCAGTAGGCCTGAGTTGCCCAAACCCTCCACATTCCAAAAGCCTTCAGGACTGTCCTTTGACTGGCTCCTCTGAACAATATGATTTGCATGCCTATGTGATTGACCCCTCCCCCCCAAAAAAAATCTCTGGGCACCAAGGCATGGGAGAGTCTCCCTGGTTGGTGACATTTCCTATGTGTTGTCACACGTCATTGCTGAGAGAATTAAGCTCTGTCTAGGTGAGTCCACTGGGAGGACAACTGGAAGCTTGCTACTGGTCCAGTGTACTTGCACTCCACCCAATACACCTGTTTCCTTTGCTGGGCTTAACCTGTATTCTTGTACTATAATAAACCATAACTCTGAGTGTAACGGCTTTTCTGAGTCCTGTGAGTCCTTCTGGCAGATTATCAAATCTGAGGGTGGTCTTGGTGATTCCAAACACAATATATGATAACACTAATATTTGTTGTCTGTGCAGCTGGTATAGTTGTAACCTCTTTACAGGTACTGAGTTACTTCATTCTCACACCCTTAAGGAGGGGTGATATTATTGTCTCCATTTGGGGGATGGGAAAAAACTAAGGGACAAAAAGGAAATCAAGTAACAAAGGAAAGGCAACACAAATCGGGAATGGAGAGTAGGACAGGTTTATCACCATCACAGTACTCCTTGGTGTACCTAACGCGGCAGAGATGTTTAGCTGAAATATTAAGTGTTCCTTCCACCTCACTGTAAATATTATTTTCTGCCTAAGATCCATATCTCCATTCAGGATGTGTGTGTACTGTAGAAAGTAGAGAATAAAGAAATCAAGAAGCAAATCAGTAGAGTTGTCTCAAAACAACTGGGTTTCTACTCTAAATATCGATCTAGTCAAACAGTCCAACTTCAGGTACTAAGCGTAACCTTTGAAAATGAAATGGATTCACTTGCTCCTGGGACAGAGCAGGGGAAGCCCCAGGTAGTAGTGTAGTTCCGCTCTTTTATGTATTACCTACATATATCTTAGCTTTAATGAAAGATCCGTGGTGTGTGTGTGTGTGTGTGTGTGTGTGTGTGTGTGTGTGTTGGGGGAAGCAGAAAATAGATTTCTATGAGAAACAGAAAAGCCAAAGACCCAAAAGGCATTCAAACAAACAAACAAACATGACAAACAGGAGTACGGCTGCCCGTGCAGCCACCTCCGCCCAGCACCTTGGACAGCAGCCGCTTGATTGCTTTGCCCTCCAGGCTTCGGTGAAGATGGAGGATGTTGATAGCGGGTCCACTTTATAGACCCTAAACTGCATTTCTCTTCCTTCGTGCCAGTTGGCTTTGTTTTACAACATGGTGAGAGAATCACAGCCACAGAGTTAGAAGGGACCTTTGCAGGTGATCTAGATCAACCCACTAGGAAATATTCAGTAAGGGGCCTTTTCTGAAATATATCTGACTTGAGAAATTCACTCCTCCAAGCCCCTAGAGGAGCAGCTCGGCTAGAAAGTTCTTTCTTCCGTTGAACTAAAACCTGTCTTTTTGCAACTTCTATGTGCTCTTTCTGATTCTGTCTGCTGGGGCCACCAGAATAGGTGTAACCCATCTGGCCCACATAACAGCCCTTTAAGTATTCATCCAGTGCTGTCTAGCCCTCTCTCTGTCCCCACAAAGGCTATCCAAACTCCTCTTGAGCCAAGGTTTCTAACTAACACTCTCCTGCATCTCATCAACTGGCTGCCCTCAAAATAGAGTGAAATTATTGCTTCCTGTTTTTTTTTCTTTTTTGTATGCTTCTCCTGAAGCATAAAAAAATGCATCTAGATTTGACTTAGCCTTTCTGGCACTCATGTAACACAGCTGAAGGAAATTTTAGCTATCGTTACACATGCTGCTGTTAAACCATTTCTTTCCTATCTTGAAAATGTGTGGTTGAATATTAAATTTCATCTTTTTTAATTTGGCTCATATTATCACCATGTCTTCATCCTTTTGGATCTAGAAATTCGTTATCCATCCAAATTATTGTCTGTGATTTTCAGGAGTATTGGATTCATTTCCAAACTTTCCCTTCCCCTGTTTCGGGAGCTGCCATGGGGGAAAAAAAAATCAATAAAATCTCAAATATTGAATTTTCAAAAAAAATCACTTATTTACACTCACTCATGGTAAGAAATGTTTGTGAACACCTCCTGCTATATGCCAGGGACTGTGACAAAACATTCAGAAACCCTCATTCTGTAGTGGAAATATTGTTTCAGTTACTCAGCCATAGACTCACAAACTGATTGGCGCCCAGAGAAGAGGATGTTTGGGGGAAGAGGTGCATTTGCTCTAGAAGGAAAGGAAGGAAGGAAAAGCTGTCATTCACACAGTGGCACCATTCACAGTCCTTATTCAGGTGACTCTTCCCTCCACCTAGAGGCATATTTGGATCTATGTGGGGTTTTTTAATCCCTGCACTGACAACAGGGACACAGAATGCTAGTTTTCTCATCTCAGCCAATAAATTGTCTTGGGTAAGTGGCAGGTAACAATTGAACAGTTATGAGGAACTGAGCATGAGGGATCAAACATAATGTCTTTTTTTCTTGTTTGCATTTTCCCTAATTGAGAAGGTCACCATAGCATCTTTAGTTTCAGCATGGTATAATTCCATTTACCTGGTCACACAATGAATATCTGATATAAGTAACACATGATATTGTGAAGTATTTGAAATTCATTGGAAAAGCAGAAAGCAAATGTTGCCTTTTTGAAAATCTAGCCCAAAGAAATGAAGCCAAGAGAAACACCCTTCTTGAATCTTGCCCTTATTCCATTTAGCTGAGTCAAAATACTCTCTGGGAAAACTGATCAACTGCTCACTGTTAAAAACATCTCCACCATTTGTAAATAGAGGGCTCAGGACATGTGCGTTTTGTGCAGTAACCATGGAGAAGCCACTTGCCTTGCAATCTTGATGCCTAGATCACTCTAGGTGGTAATCTCCTCATTCAGTGGCTTTGCTTTTTCACACGAAGATTAACACTTCTGCTAAAATAAACATTTCAGACTTTTCTCTGGGGTCCTCTTTCCAACACTGAAAGCCAGCTTAACCTCAAGGGCAAGCCCTGGAGTAATTTGAGCTGTTTCAGCCACCATTATCCTAGTGGTGTAGCAGACTACCCCAACCAAGGCTTCACTCTTGCCTTGAGAGGCGCATTTAATTTTCCTGCTATCATTTCCCCCCTACCCCTCCCTCCCTCCTCTCTCTCTCTCCCTCTCTCTCTCTCCTCCTTCCTCCCTTCCTCCTTTGTACTTTTCCCCTTTCCTCTCCAAAAATTTGGAACTTTCCCCACAAACTTAGAAAGCAGATATAGAGCAGTAGATTATTTACATTACAAAAGGATTCTTAATTTTACCAAGCAATTTACCAAAGCATTCCTTGAAGCAATGTCACCCTAGTGCACCTGAGCAATGAGAGTATTCAAGGTCATAATTAGTGTGTGTTGTGCCCAAATCCTTCAGAGGAACGCCGGGCGTCAGAGTGAGGTCTGCAGATGTCTTAGGGCCCAAACTGTATCCCAGCAAGTCACTGTCCTTGCCATCATCCTACTTCCTGTGTGTGTGCAGGTTTACAGAGTTTTGAGGAATGGTCATTCAATGTGGATTCGGGTGTCCTGAGAGGGTCAGAGGATTGTTCAAACAATACATTTCTAGCATGCAGCTATTTCTGGAGGGTTTTTTCTCCTATCAATCATAACTTAAAGCAGCAACACAGCAAATGGCTGCAGGTGTCTGCCCCACCTGCTTTGAGTGGAGTCATCTTTCGATAGATTTCGACTGGCTCAAAGAGCCACCAGTCACTTTCGGAGCATTCTTGATTTTTCCTAATGGTTCTCCTCCCTCTGACATTGACGGTGCGCACCCTCAGTGGAATTACTTTGGTAGAATATGATGTTCTGAAGCAGGTAGAGAAATGCCAGAAGCTGCCACCAGCTGAGACAATGAGGCTGACTCATTCCACCTGAGTTTGAAAAGGGTGACTAGTGTTCTTGATAAAAACTACCTTCCAGAATTCTATTTTTGAGTCAAATGACTTAAATGGATCTAAATGATGGGATGTTAATAGAACTTCCCTGATATGCCTACGTTAGCCTGAATGTCCGTTTACTTCCCAAGTAGCTGTATCTTCCCCACTCAGGATGGGGTTTGGGGGCAGCAGAGCGCATAGATGGTGTGATGGATGGAAAGCTTTTCAGTTGTGTCTTAAAGAAAGGGTAACATCAGGGCTGGCAGGAACAATGGGAACAGGGGAACAGATATCCCAGATAGCGGCAGTGGTCTGAGCAAAGGCAAATGCCCCCAAAAAGATGCTCTGTAAGCCCTTGTAGGATGAATGAAGGAATAAATGAATGAATACACAAAAGTGCAAGAACAGACATGATAAAGGAGACAGAGCATTGGACTTTGCAGGAAGAGAACTAAATTGACACTATCTTCCCACCTACCAGCCCTGCGATCTGGGCTAAATCATTTAAGCTCTGTGTGTTTTAGCTACTTTCTGTCTCACATGGGGATAGTCATCTGTCTATTTTTTAGCCCTTTTAATCTGTATTTTTAAAATTCTATATTAAAAAAATTTTTTTTTAATTCTCAAAACCTGAAACACTCAATTTTTCAAAAACCTTCAGAATAAGTCCAGGAACATCTGTGTCCAGGCTGGCACATGGGAAAATACTACAATCTAGGGCTTTGTCACTTAAAGTGTGGTCCCCAGACCGGCAGCATGGGCACCCCCTGGGAGCTGCTGAGAAATGCAGATCCTCAGACCCACCAGCCATACTGAATCTGAATCTACGTTTTAACAGGACCCTGGTGTTTTGTACACATGTGGTAATTTTCAAAGTATTGCTGCCTATCTAAAGAACTGTGGGGCATTTAGAACCTTTCCCCCACCAGGTTTGCCTAAAAGGAAATCTGTTTTCAGCTACTTCAAGAACAGTAAGGACCATCATGTGTAGCTCATTCAAACCAAATTCCTGCTTCTGTTTACTAGTTGATGTAATATCGTAGAGTCAAAGGAGTTCATGAAATGCCTAATTGATGACTAGAGAAAAGCTGTCTGTTTGGGAAAATCTGTCTTCAAACCTGGAAAAGATTTCAAGGGGAGGGAAGATATTTCAGAAATTCAAAGCTAGGCCATCCAGCTCTCCTACTTCACATTTTGTCAGAGTGTATGTCATACAATTCCTTTTTTCAAAAGTTTTGAGCATATACTAGATGCTAAATGAGGAAGGGAAAAAAGTCTCTGCCTTCAAGGTATTCACATGAAAGAGACAGGAAATTGATATAAAAGCACCTGTCTGTCACTCTGGCAGCTGCTTATATACTCATTTCAGAGAGTCTGCCA